CGCGGCACGTAGTCGACGGGCCGGGATCAGAATCGGAAAGACGCGTCGGGATCGGGATTGAAGAGAACGACCTGGGCTTTTTTTACAGTAATATATCGGATGCATTTACGTTGCTGACGTGGCAGGCACGTCGGGATCGGCAGGACAAGCGGTTGGAGGGGACGGTGCAGAGAGAGGAGGAGCTGGCATACATAACCAGTCATCGTTCGATGCCTTTAAAAAAATTAAAAAAATAAAAAAGTCGACCCACACGTGCCTGCCACGTCATTCAGAACTTCGGATAACCAAAGAACGTCGCAATCATAATTAATCTTTTGGTAAATAAATCGACAATTTTCCTCCTTTTTCTTTTCATAAACCGGGGGGGGGGGCGGGAGGAGGAGGAGGAGGAGGAGGAGGAGGAGGAGATTTCTAAATCGAAAATTTCCCTTTTTGTTTAATAAACGGGGACCAGTCGAACAATCATCGTTAATCTTTTTGGTCGATAAAAATTATCAAAGTCCTGATCAACATGGTGGGGTACCGCGGGGAGGGGAAGGGGGGGAAGGGGGGGAAGGGGGGGAAGAGGGGGAAGAGGGGAAGGGGGGAAAGAAAGGAGGGAAGGGGGGAAGGGGGGGAAGGGTACTGCACTGCACTATACTCTCTAAAGTTTTGACGGTCAAAATGGCGACGAGCGAGTGTATCTTCACCAAGAAGGTGGCCAGATACCACTCGCCATCTTTGGTCTTCTTAATCACATTTGGTAGAGTGGTGTACCGGGGACAGATTACCGTCTTCCCCCGAACAGACCGCCCGGTCATTGCCACTGCATCTAGACGGAAAGTTGCCCCGAATACGGCTATATAATGACCGGGCTTTCTATTCGGGTGACGACGGTAGCCGAAGGAAGGGGAAGAGAGAGAAGGGAGGGATGTGGGATGTGGAGGAGGAGCAGGTGGCAGTCGAAGCCAAGGTCGGGATCGAGGTAGGTAGGTAGCTAGTAAGAGGCGGAGAAGAAGAACATGATGTAAGGAGGAGGAGGAAGAGGAGGAGGAGAAGGGAGGAGGGAGGAGGAGGAGAAGGGAGGAGGTAGGAGGAGGAGAAGGGAGGAGGGAGGAGGGAGGAGGAGGTCACGGCTGGCACGTCACGCCACATGACACCGCGGATCAACTTCGTGCTACTGACAGGTAAGTTGGGTTGGGATCGGGGCCCGAGGAGGCTGATCGGGACGGCAGGAGCGAGGAGATTAACAGTATAAGCAGAGGTGGAAGAAGAGAAGGGCACCGTAATTCATTTGGCCTCGGAGGGGGGGGGGGGGGGGGGGGGGGGGGAACGAATGAATACCCCGAGAGGCCCACAAGTGGCAGAGAAAGAGGAGACAGAGGGAGTAGGGAGGAGGAGGTAGGAGGGAGGCGGGAGGAGGGTCACTCACCTTTCTTCCCTCTTGTTGGACGGCTCTCATGCACGACGGGGTCGGGATCAAAAACTCCCGAGCGCGACGATGAACGCCAAACGGAAAATCAAACGGAACGGAACGGAACCACCACCCTGACCAAAGACAAGAGGACATAAACAGCACCACCATGCCAAAAAAAAAAAAAAAAAAAAAAAAAAAAA